CGTTATTTCGGCCAGCTGAGCCGGTGCGGGGTTAAAAATCACGTAGTGGAGTTAATAAAATAAGGGCTAGGAAGAAAACGCCGGTCATCTGACCCGCAAAGTTCTTTCCTCTGCACGGGTGAGATGAGAAGAGCGAAGGAGCTGCTGAGAAAGTGAAGTTTGGGGGTGGGAGAAAGCCATGACCGCGTTGCGGTGCCGGTGACATCAGGGGGTGTACGCCGGCGGCGGCTGGAACTGGTTGATCACTTCGTACTCGGCTGGGTAAGGTTCGTTCTCCTCCATCTCAGACAGGAGCTCCAGGGCTTGCTCCTCTTCCTCAGTGGGGTAGTGACGCAGCAGGTTGGCGGCGGTGGCGAGGATGGAGGCTCCCCCGGCGCCCGCCACTAGGTAGAAGCTGACGGCGAAGGTGACGTAGACTTGGGAACCGTGGTATTTTTTGTGCTGCTGTTGTTGGGGGAGGATAAACTCCGAGGCCCAATAGCAGAATCCGATGACAGTGGCACACTGCAGGACTGAGGGAGAGACCGGGAGAGACACTGAGCAGCCAGGAAAAAAAAAAAAAAATCAAGTCTGCAAATTCATTTCATGGCTGATCCGGCAAAGGGACACCGAGCCCAGCTTGCTGGCGGTTTAAGCAGGCAGAGTGCGAAAGCCTGCGATGAAAGGGGGTGGTGGGTGTCCAAAATTCATCCTGAGAGGAGAAAACGCGGTGGAGGATCCACAGGCTGAGAACGAACCTGGCCGAGCGGGGTGGCCAGCAACCCAAACCCCAGCCGAACAGGGGTTTTTTTGGTTGGGTTTTTTTTTTGCGACCTAGAAGGGGCGGCAGGGATAAATTGGTGTTTGGGGCAGGCTGACGGCTCAGACTTTCCCTGAGCCACTCGGGTCTGACGCAGGTAATTCTGGCGGGGATAAGGGATATTAAAGCTTCTTTGACCTCACGAGCTAGAAAAGCTGACCTCCTTCCCCAGAAAGACGTTACGGGAGCTCTTTGAAAAATCACACTCATTAGTAGACGCTTAATGTTCATCCTCGACCTCTTCCTTCCCCGAGATTTAACCCCAGTCTTCACTGTGTGAGGCTGCTGCTGCCTTACGGCTCCAAAACACCGTGAAAGGGAAGCTCTGGGGTTTGTTTTTTTTTCCTTCCCCTTTTGAGGGCCAGGGATTGGAAAAAAAAGAAACCCAGGGCTTTCCCCCGGTGCGGCAGAAGCCCCATCCCCGCCGGCAGGGATTTACCTGTGAGGATGTGAGCGAAAGCGTAGCGGCGAGTGATCTTCAACGCTGGGTGCTTGGGGCCGAAGACATCCAGGAGGAAAGCTGAGAGGCTGCAGATGATTCCCAGGAAGCAGAAGGCAGCGATGACCCGGAGCAGCAGGACCGTCTGCGGGTTCATGCAATAATCTGCGAGGTGAAGAAAAGGTGGCAGCCGCTGAGCGCTGGAAAAATTCCTCTTTTCCACCCAAATCACCCACTGGACAGAGCAACTGGTATCATGATCCCTGCTCCGATCCCGCCCAGTGTTTTCCAATGAGGTTTAAAAATGCAGCTCACGCCACAAACGGGAGGACAGTGGGGTGCTTCTAATTAGGCTCTAGAAAACAAACTTCCATTATACAGCGGCAGCCGGCTTGGTCATGGATTTCACTTTCCCAACTATCATCACCATGTAAATTAAAAACTAAATAAACAGCTCTGACGGAGCATGGCGGCTGAGATAACGAAGCGGGTCACGCAAGTTCCTTATTTAAAGCGAAGCTGGGGGTGACGCTAGAAAAATCTGTGTATTAACGCCATGTCCTGCCGGTGGGCGAGGGGAGGACGTAGCTCACGCTACTCCAAGAAAATTCAAGCGTAGGTGGACTCTGCCCGTCTGTAACCAGGTCTGGGGATATCCGAGGGTTCAAAATTCCCCCCTCCCCACCTTCCACGGGGTCACTCCAGCGAGGCGGTGGGGAAAGGAAGGAGGGGAATGGGCTCCGGTCACCTCCCGTCCCTCGAGCCAGGAGAGATTTTAAGAACTAAAGGCAGGAGTTCATTTTAACGTCAGGTTAATGGGCACTGATAAAGAAGCTGGGCCTTAACACCGCCCAGGGTGGGGTGGACGATGGTTTCTTCCTTGTACCGGCAGCGGCCGTCGGGATGAAGGGAACCGAAAGTGGGGAAACCCGCTGCCCACCGCCTTCAGCCATCGGAATCAGGCGTTTGAAAGCTTGAACCCCCGCCGGCTTCTTGTTACAACTCATTAAAAAAAAAGAAAAAATAACAAGGGACCAAGGGACAAGCGCGGCCGTAGGGATTCAGCCGCCTGTTAGCTCAAAAAATAAGTCGGGCGCGATGTTTTTGCTCTCGTCTCCTTCTCGACTGATTTCATCGCCCCGGAGCTGCTCCGGCAGGGGGTGAGGCCCGGTTGCGCCGCCAGGAACGGTGGGCAGACGCATTTATCGGTGATTTTTTGGTGTCGGATTTGTACGCACCCAGCCCTGAACGGTTCCAGTGCTCTGGAATGGGGGCAAATCAGCTCATTTCGGGGAGG